GTTGATCCAGTGCTAATTTTGTACGTTGTAGGCTAGGACAAGTCATATAGATGTTTGCTCTTTAGAATTATCATACACTCATCGGCCACTTTATTAGGTACACTTGTTATGTCCAACTGCTTGTTAATGCAAATAATCAGCCAATCACATGGCAGCAACTCAATGCATTTAGTCATACATGGTCAAGACGATCTGCTGCAGTTTAAATCGAGCATCAGAATGGGAAAGAAAGGGGATTTAAGTGGCATGGTTGTTGGTTGCCAGACGGGCTGGTCTGAGTATTTCAGAAACTGCTGATCCAGTGGGATTTTTACGCACAGCCATCTCTTGGGTTTACAGAGAATGGTTTAAAAAATAAAAATATCCAGCGAGTGGCAGTTATTAGGGCACAAATGTCTCGTTGATGCCAGAGGAGAATGGCCAGACTGATTTGAGCTGATAGAAAAGCAATAGTAACCTAAATAACCACTCGTTACAACCGAGGTATGCAGAAGAGCATCTCTGTACGCACAACACGTCAAATTTTGAAGTGGATGGGCTACAGCAGCAGAAGACCAGACTAGGTGCCGCTCCTGTCAGCTAAGAACAGGAAACTGAGGCTACAATTCACACAGGCCCACCAAAGTTGGACAATAGAAGTCGGTGACAATAGCCTATTGGTTAAGTGCGCTGACATATAGCACCATGGTGCTCACTGCGACCCTTGTTTGATTCCTGGCTCAAGGTCTTTTGCCGACCCTTACCCTCTCTCTCCCAATTATAAAAAAATTATAGACAAAATTAGACGATAGAAGACTGGAAAAACATTGCCTGGTCTGATGAATCTTGATTTCTGCTGCGACATTTGGATGGTAGGGTCAGAATTTGGCATCAACAACATGAAAGGATGGATCCATCCTGCCTTGTATCAACGGTTCAGGGTGGTAGTGGTGGTGAAATGGTGTGGGAGATACTTTCTTGGCACACTTTAGGCCCATTAGTACCAATTAAGCATTGTGTCAACACTACAGCCTACCTGAGTATTGTTGTTGACCATGTCCATCCCTTTATGACCACAGTGTACCCATCTTCTGATGGCTACTTCCAGCAGGATAATGTGCCATGTGATTGCGCAAATCATCTCAGACTGGTTTCTCGAACAAGACAATGAGTTCACTGTACTCAAATGGCCTCCACAGTCACCAGTTCACAATCCAATAGAGCACGTTTGACATGTGAAGGACCGGGAGATTGGCATCATGGATTTGCAGCTGATAAATCCCCAGCAACTGCATGATTCTATCATGTCATTATGGACCAAACTCTCTGAGGAATATTTCCAATACCCTGTTGAATCTATGCTTAATCTAAGGATTAAGGCAGTTCTGAAGGCAAAAGGGGGTCCAACCCGGTATTAGAAAGGTGTACTTAATAAAGTGCCCGGTGAGTGTATAACTGTAATCCTACATGTCTGCACATTTGCAAACACACATAATTAATTAGTGGTGCAAAATTATTTAAAATAATCATTTTCAGCAAAACTTACTATGATATTAGACGGTAAAACTGTGGTACTGTATTTTTTTTACATTTACATCATCATTTAATTCTAGTCACTAGC